ATTGGCCATTGCAAGGCAATTGCCACATAACATACATGTAATGCCATGATACAAGTAGATCACAGAGTGTGAAGCAAGATGGAAGGCCTAATACTCTAGGGAAGTAGAGTAAGGAAATACTCTACCCTTTTCCCATGTTGTTTTCAATTTTCAGTGCTTTAGGGTTTCATTTGGCCTCGTATTTTTGGTTTTACAAAAGTATCCCCAACTAGCATTTTATGTTAACTGTACAATTTCTCTTAGTATTATAATTTTAATCATTTACATTTATACTGTTCTATTCCTTATTTTTGATTTTTATTGTACCTCACCTGAGAGCAATTCAAAAATTGCTGATATAGAAATTATATATCAAATGTGCTTTACAACTTGGCTTTTACCAGGTGTCAACTAATTTCAGTTTTGTTTGCAGAAAATATTAGTATAATGTCCCAAGATAATAAAAGCATTGAACAAACCGTGGATGGGATAATTTGCCTAGAAATGAAGCAAAAGAGAAAAAAAGATTTAATATAAATATTTTTTTTAAATTGTAGAAGACAACCTTGACAAATTAGGTACTATTGTTAGAACCTTTATTGTTCATATTTGATCCCTACTTTAGGTTCGTTCTTTAGCAATAATAATTCAACACCAAGATACTATTTTAATTTTTGCTTCTATTTCTCAAATGCTCATCAATATTGCTCTCAAAAACTGAAAAAGTCAGTAGAGCAGCAACCATATTTTGTATGTCTCTGCAGCACAAATTGCAATGAAACAGCAGTTCCCATTAAACGTCTGTTGGAATCACAACTGGGGTGTTTATACCAATATTTATAACATAATCTATCTGATGAGGTCAGCCTGTGCATTTAAAAATAAATTTAAAAATAAACTATCAGTGGGTAACTTTAGCATTTTATAGGAGGGTTTGTTTTTGTGTGTGTTTGTGTGTGTGCAGGCTCTTCTAGCAGAATAATTCTGTTGGGCAGGTTGGTTAAGAGTATAACTGGTCTAGTTACTTGAAGAGGTTCCCTATTGTTAACAATAAGTAGACCTAGACGTAATCCTCATCTTACACCTGATTGCTTAGCAACTATTTGAAGTTACAATGGACTTTCCCAGGGCTACCAAAGTCCAAATTCCATTCCCGGGTCACATTACCATATTTCAGGTACTCAACAACAAGCTCACTTTATGGCCACTTGCAGTATCCTGAGGTCACATGGCTGCATGTTATGGTTTTTGCTGAAAACTGGCATTTATGTCGTGCTGCGAAACTGGCCCATAGTGAACCATTGATTTGCTTAACAACTGTGGAGTTCGCTTAATAATTGTGACCAAAAAATGTTGTAAAATTGGGTTGGAATTCCTGGATTGGAATTACATGATTTATTGTTTGGCTTATATTAGTGTGTTTACAGCTAATGTGTGCTTATGTGTGGTTTATATAATAGTTTATGGACGAATATATTGTTCAAAATAGCCTATTGTTGTTTATTCAATAAACTAGGTTTAAGATATGTTTTGATGCAACGTGGCCATCCAAACGTCATTTTAGAATTTACAACTGAAGCATTTTTAAAAATGATTTGGCTATTCATATAGTACTTTTATCCTTTCCACCATCTCTTTATGGTTGAGCCACAAGGTTAATGGATGTTGCAACTTTAAGATGTTGTACCCACCTGAGTGCATTTGGTAGGATTTATTTTTGATCACAGTACTGTACAATTAGTTTGGTTCCAAACTCCCAAGTACTTAGTGATCCAGATGGTAAAACACAATCTTTATTCAAAAGTGTATTTTGTTCATTACTTTTAAATTCAGATCTGCTAATGGAGAGCTGTACAATATTTCAGTGCTGAAGAATGAAATGAACAAGCTAAAAGGATAAGATAGGCATCAAAATTTTTCACACAATAATAATCTTTCCTTGGGCCAGTTAATTAAATTATTGCAGTAAATTTCACAAAATACTTGACATTTATCTAATAAAACAAAGTTATTTTTAACAGAATAACAATTTTAATTCCAATTTTGGAAACATAAGAAGCATCCTTAGGTCAATTTAGATATTGTGTCCATCTAGATCAGTGTGTTTATTCTGGCTGGCAGTGACAGAAGTCTCAGTTACTCAACCTATCAAAACCGTTTAAATAGAAATTACAATTACATGTGCTTTCTCACTGAGAAATATGTCCTATGTTGATTCTAGCCTCTCTTTTTAGTACTGGTTTTTGCTGAATAAAAAAGCAAAATAAAACTACCACAAATAAATATAGTGAAAAATGTCATTTTGAGCATTATAATCATTATAAAGGAATAAGGCAAACATTTTCTTAAAACCAAGCTAAGTATAGTACCTTTGAAATGTTAGTGCTTCTTTGATGAATAATGTCAAGGGAGCCTGCCTAAACCTTTTGATATATTACCTTCAAAATGATAACTTGAAAAGGACACAAAGTCTTCATTCTCATAGGTATATTAACACATTAAAATTAGTTACTATTTTCTGGATTTATAGAATATTTTGAACTATAAATTAATCAAAAGAGATGGATTTACACAACAAATTAAGTCACAAGAGCATTAACCATGGCTAAGCACTAACCAAGTTTTCATGTTGGAGAACTGTAAAACTAGGTCTTTAACTTATTTGGTAAAAATATGTAACCATAGCTATTGACTGTAATTTTGGAACTTGAAGGGAAAGTTTCAAATTAACATGATGAATGATCACCATTGCACTAATTTATCATTCTCAGCTTTTCTGATTCTCTCTATAATATCTGAAACATATCACTAGATTGTATTTGCTCTGTTTATATTCCAAAAATTAATAAGTCAGCCACATTTTGGCTCATCCTATTTACTTTTTATATGTTTTCTCTAGTTGTTTTTTTTTTAAATACCTATTGAACGTCTTGTAAATTAACCCAAAATTGATTTCTGGAAGATCTCAATTGTGATATATGACTTAGAGAACTCTGGATGAAATCTACATGCTACATTCTAATTGCTGTGGAAAAAAAACTAAGCTAACTTACATTCTCATTCTAAAAACTATTATAATTTTCTTTGGCCTAATAAAAACTTCAGCAGGACCTGATTCAGACAACTATTAGAATAATAAGAGGTCTAGAAAGCCCAAGAAGGATCAGTAAAAATATCCCTGCAAAAAGAAAACCCAAAGGAGACATGATATCAGTGTTTAAATACCTAAAATGTTGTGTGAAATTGAGAGGTTAAAAACCTATGGCTTGAAGTGAGAAGACCAGAGATCCAAGCTGAATATTAGAAGAGATTTCTTCACGATTAGAGCTATTAAGAAGAACACTTTGGCTAGATCTCTCTTTCACAGGAAGATTTCAAAGGGGCTGGATAACCACTTTGTTGGAGATGCAGTAGTGGTTTTAATTTTCTTAAAAGATAGAGAAACTGTTCAATTCAGCCCTGTTAGTTTGGAAATGTGTCCATGTACCTAGGAAAAGAACAGAATGGGAGATAGCGGAGAGCAGATTTTAAAGATAGGATCAAGGAAATAGCATTTTGGTCAACTGTGCTTCATCATTAATTATGTAAATGGGTAGATTTCCAACAAAGCCATTTGTCAAAGTGTCCCTAATATGCCAATATCAAAGACTCCTTGAGACAGGAACATGATCCACTTGGTTTCAGACAGATGCTTGGGATTTGTCCAGTAATATGATGGGCAATTCTGCCATAAGTTGCATTGAGCTCCAGTGATAATAAGGATGCTGGATGCCATTGTTCCCTGGAAACCTTTTGTTTTTCCATACTGGCTGGGGAATTCTGGGAGTTGAAGTCCACACATCTTAATGCAGCCAAGCCTGACAAATACTGGTGTTTGGCAGAAAATGAAGCGTGAGTTTGCTTAGAAACAGGTACAGGGTTTAGACCAGGGGTCCCCAAACTTGGCAACTTTAAGACTTGTGGACTTCAACTCCAAGAATTCTCCAGCTAGCATAGCTGGAGTTGCCAGGTTTGAAGACCTCTGGTTTAGGCTTACATTGTGGCCAAAAGGGTGGCCAAAGAGTGATAGACGTCCATACTTATAATTTCATTGAAACCTTGTCCAGAATGAGTGGCTATTCTATTTGGGAAGGCTGGGAATGACCTCCCAGTTCCAGTGCCTTGACAGGTTTACAAACAAACAAACAAACAAACAAATTGATGAAGCTGCTCCAGTTGTTCCACTCCGGAATGCATTTAGTTAAATCCAAAGGAAATGGGATACCTGAATAAATGCAGTATCGCTGATGCTCTCTGCAGCTTTCTTAATAAGAGCATTAAAACGGTCTGTTATGGACGGCTTCTCAGTCTAAGCTCCTACCTGGGATTTCCAGGTGTCGTTTTGAAGGCTTCGGATTCTGGGAGATCTAAGGACCCTCCCTAAGCATAAACTATCCGGGCGGGCAGCCCGTTTTTAAAGGCGACCCAGCTTCAGAAGTCAGCCCTATTTACACGTCCAACAGGGGCGTGCTCCGACTTCAGGGCGCCCGTTCTCCCTTTGCCGGTGACTGCTGCGCCTACTACCGCTTTCGTGCTCCGGTGTTACCTGCTGCTTCCCGCTCACCCGGCTCAGGATTACTCCCCCCTCCCCTTTAGCAGGTCCGCCCATCATTGCCGCCGCCCTCGCCATTGGCTGCCTGGACAGCCCATCCACCTCGCTTATTGCCAGGAGGCGGGTCCGCGGAAGGCAAGAGACGCCTCCCGGGCTGCCTGAGGAGCGGCTTGCGCGCCGAGAGCTCCCCTGCAGCCCGCGCAGAGTTTCCCAGCCGCTGGCGTCGGCGAAAGCGGCCGAGGTGGGATGTTGCTGCCACCGGGCGAGGTGCCGGTCTAGCGGGCCACGGCGGCAGCGGTTCGGCTGGCGTTTTTCCCTTTCCGGCGGAGGATGCCTCCGGTGTTGATGCCGCCGGCGGAGGCGGCCGGCTGACTTTCTCCTCCGACCCACCCAAGGCGGTGGCGGCGGTCTTCCCTCCGCACTTAGAAGGGCGGCTATGGGCAAGAAAGTTTCCGCGGCGGCAGCGGCGGCAAAGGAGGAGGCTGAGCGGAGAGATGAGGGAGGCCAGCGACTCTCGCCCTCTTCCTCTTCTTCTTCTTCCTCCAGCTCCGGCTCGTCCCCCTCGTCGTCTGACTCCCAAACTCTTTCCGAAGAAGGCGAAGCCGGCTCGGCCACCCCTCCAGCCAGCCGGGGTGCTTTCCAGCGGGCGGATCCCCACCGACGCGACGGTACCTCCGAGCCGCAGCGACCAGGAGGGGAAGCGCCGGGCGGCCCCGCGACGTTGCCCTCCGTGGCCCCTCGCGCCGGGAAGGAAGGGGGCGAGGTGGAAAAGGAAGGGTGCGTGGACGGCCGGCAGGAGAGCGAGGAAGAGGAGGACGACTCGGGTAGTCCGGGAGGTCTAGATGGCTGCGGGGGCGCCCGCCCGCGTCCCGAGACGGATGCCTCGCTGGAGGAGCAGGACGAGGAGGTGGGAGAAATCAGGGTTTGGAGGGGCGGCGCAGGGAGAGGGTTGCGGGGCGGCTGTGTCCCCCCGGCACCCCGAAAAGAGCGGGAGGATCCAGGCTGGCTTCTTCCGCCTGGCGGTGGCTACCCGAGGCCAGCGACGACGGGCGTCGTGGCGGCCGGTCGAGGGGGGGGGGAAGAGAATGACCTGGCTTGACTGAGGGAGGGAGGGAGGGCAGGAGAAAGCCACCGCCGGCCGCGGCTGCCCTGCCTGGCTCCTTCGGGGCGCCGGGAAGAAGCTGCCAAGGGCGGGATCCCTGCCGCGTGTTGACGGTCGGGTGAGCCTCTTCCTAATTGCCTGAGTGGGCTGTGTGTTTGTACGGGGCGTTTCTCCTTAATTACCCTTGAAACCGACCACAAATGGGGCTCTGGGAATCGCTTCTCAGCCTCTCCGGGCTGGCTCGGAGTCCGCGGAGAGCGGTTGTCATCTTCCACCTCAGGTGGAGCTTGTTGAATAGGGAGAGGGGGGAAGGCGGCGGTCGCGGCCGGTCCGCTTAGATATCGGGGTGCGGACGGTGGTCCCCGAGACGGCCGGAGGGGCGAGTCCTTTCCTTCCACGTTTGGAGGCGCTTTGGGGTCGGCGCTTCGGAGGCGTTTCTTGGGCGCCCAGGCTCCTCGGGATAATGGTTCCTAGAAGGCTTTTTGCAAGGAAAAGCGGGCTTGTCTCAGGCATTTCCAAGGCTACCTTCCAGGGAGGAAGTGGTAAATTCCACATAAAGTCAGCGTAAGGCATAAATACAAGACTCCAGTGAAGGTTTAGATACTTTCTGCGGAGTGAGGCTCCAGAGAGTCCTGAGAGGTGGATGATATTGGCCAACGGACCTGAAATTGAGGTGTGGACATCTTTTAAATGCAAACAAACAAGCACTGCTTAGAAGATGAACTGCCGTAATGCTTGCAGGCTTAAAATACACTTTGAGGTGTTTTCTGCCTCCCCATTGTAGAGAAAGACTGAGAAGGTAGGGCGAGAGAATTTAAGGCTCAATCCTGATAAAAAATAAAAATCATGATCACATGGGGAGCATACAACCTACTAGACTTAAGGTGGTCCACTGTTGTGAAGATGGGCTGATTACAATGTAAATCATCAACATGCAGTTATGTATATTTTCATTCTGATTGAAATTACCTTCTCCCCCTGTGGAATTAGGTCTGTGAATTGATTTAGAGAGGATGCTTCAGAGTTATGGTTTTTCATAGGATATATTCTGATGGCTATAAACAGGAAGTGTCAAGCCTTAAATGCCTTGTTATGCCTGTAGAAAAACAATTAGTTGGTTTTCTTTCTTTCTTTCTTTTTTTTTTTTGCATAACTGAAAACTGTGTCTTTTGGTTGTTGGCACAACTGACATATTTGCTATGAAAAACTGTGGTTTTTATTTTAAGTGTCCTGAGAATAGTGGGTTTCAATTTTCCCCACAGTGTGTGTCTACTTTGCCATTTCTTTCTCCTGATTACAGATTTCCATTTGTAGCCTGGAATTTCTTTATCACCTCCTATGGAGTTACCAGTCAGAGCTCTCATCACTTAGCTTTTTGAAATCCGTTAACGTTGGCCAAGTTTTCCCAATATAAAACTACGTGTGACTCATGAAACCTCTTATCAAATGCTAGGACCTGATCCCACACTAAACACTAAACATTAATGCCTATTTCTTAAACAGCAGAAAATGGGAATCTTCTAGTACAGTGTCCTCAATTTAGACACTTCAGAATGAATTGTGTTTATTGATCAACTTACAAACAGCTTTCCCTAGAATTTGAACAAAATTAACCTTGCTTTTTAGAATTTATACCTGTTTATACATTGCGTTTCGCCATAGCTATTGGATAAACCCTAACCTTGGTTTGCATGACACATTAGTCCCGTGATGGCGAACCTAGGGCATGTGTGCCACAGGTGGCATGCAGAGCCATATTTGCTGTCTGCTCTGGCGCGTGTGTGTGTGTGTGCTGTCCAGCTGATTTTCAGCTTTCTGGAGCGCCAGGAGAATCCGTTTTAGCCCTCTCCAGGCTTCAGGATTGCCTCCAGAACCTGGGGAGGGCAAAAAAACAGACCCAATGGGCCAATTGGAAGTTCAGAAACCATATGTTTCTGGCTTCCATAGGCCCCCTGGGGGGCTGGGGAAGGCCGTTTTTGCCCTCCCCAGGCTTCAGGAAAGCTTCCAGAGCCTGGGAAGGGCGAAACACCCCCCCTCCGGAGAGTCATGCGCACATGAATGGGGGGATTGTGCGCACTTGCACAGGTGGGTGGAGCACATTGAATTGTGGGTGAGGACACGCACATGCACGCAATAGCATGCACACACACAATTTTGGCACACCCTTAGAAAATGGTTCTCCCTCACTGCATTAGACCTTGGGTGTCAAATTCAATCTCATTACATGATGTATCATGACTTTTTGCCTTTGTAAAGCTGGGGTGGGTGCAACCTGCATATGACACATCCGGCCTACTGGCTGCCAGTTTGACATGCCTGCATTAGACATAGGTTACAACCAAAAACGGCTAGTTTCACCAAAACCAAGCCAATCGTTTATAGCTTAGTGTGTTCACTGAATCAAGACAGTGTCAAAAACATACTACATACTCATGCTGCAGTAATCTTGGAAGATTTGAGTGATGTGGATTAATGACTGACTTTGTAATTGACAGATCTGTTGAATGTAATATGCCTGGACATGCTCTTTGTACATTTGAACTTGCTACTTCTCTAAATGCCTATAAAACAGTGTAGAGTCTTCTTAAGGGGAGAACAAAGGATAGGGCCACAATGGAGGTTTATCCCCAAGTTAGGGATGAGAGGTTGGATGGGCTGAATTGTTCCTTTGAGATAGATATTGTCTTTTTCTAATGTAGACTAATAAATATGATGTGTAAACAAATACCAGGGCTATATATTTTTACAGCAAATGTCCTGGGTGCAGCAATGGATATTTGCAATAGTGGTGAATATCTGTACCTCGGGTGTAGGATAGGAATGAAAGTTTGTTCTCCGACCTTGTGGTTTGGTTTCCAAACGTTTCATTACCAGGCTAGGTAACATCTTCAGTGGAGTTTAGGGGACGACAGTGTTCTTCTGTTCAGATATAGGTGTGTGTCCAGTGAGGATCTTATGATAGGGAGGTTACATTAGGTTGGGGTCATTGGGAAGTGAATTGCTGGTGAGAGGATTGCATGGGTTGTTTGAGGGTCAGTGCTATCTCTGGTTGGCTGTGTGGTTACTTTGGATCTGAGGGGTTCATAGTTGTAGGTTAATGTGACTGTTGATGGAATTGCTTGTGGAATGCCAGGTTGAGATCAACTCACAAGTGTGACAGGTGGTAGTGTGGCTGATGTTTTTTGGGTTGCTCCAGTCAAACTGGTGCTGTTTGGTGTCAGTGTGGGAAGAGATTAAGGATTTGCCATTTGATTGCCAGCCGGTGTTTGTAGATCCTGGTTTTTAATTGACATGTTTGTCCAACGTACAGTAGAATTGGTTGCACGGGTTACAGTTGATTTTGTAGATTATATTGTTTCTTTCATCCTTCTGTATCTTTGGTTCTGGATAATTCCTGGCAGAGTGTGGCTGAGGGTTTCTAGACTATTGCTATTCTTAGGGGTTGGGGGATTCTGGCTGTCATTTCCGATAATCCTTTTGGGTACGGTAGGATTTTTGGGTGGTGGTTGGCTGTTGGTGTGTTGTGGTTTAGGTGCTGTGTGTCAGAATATGAAGTTTTTGAGATAGTCATTACAGAGAAAGATGTCCAGCAGCCAGCCATTTTTTTCCTGCTTTTCTTAGTGTTGTGGTGGTGCATTATGTTCTGGCCCTTCTGAATAGTGTCGGGACATAGCTTCTTTTGTGTGCGGTGGGGTGATTGCTTGCAAAGCTGAGGATCTGGTCCATATACATGGGTTTGTGGTAAATGCAGGTTTCCAATTCTCCGTGGTCTAGCCTCCTTATGTTGATGTCAACAAATGGAAGTCTGTGGTCTGTTTCTTCTTCATGTGTGAATTTGATCCCAGGGAATCTTATTGAGTAGGTGATGTGCTTCTTCAATTTGGGAGCATTTGATGATGATGAAGGTGTCATCAAAATAGCATGTCCAGAATTTTGGTTGGATGGTGGGTAGAAATATGGATTTGGGTCTTTCCATGACCACTTTTGTTATTAGGTCTGATATGGGTGATCCCATTAGGGTACCTTTACATCCTTGCAGATTTTCTCATTGAACATGTGTTGGGGCATAGATACAGGAGTTTCATGATGATTTCTGTGAACATGGAGTGTTCTGTAGTGCCATCATATATGAGTGAGTAGGTGGTGTAGGGTTTATTTAGCTAGGCAATCACGGTGAAGAGAGTGGTGATATCGAATGAGACCATGATTTCTTCCTTGTTGATCTTGGTATGTTTGATACATTGGAGAAATTGTTCTGGGGAGTTTATTGAGTGGTTGAGTCATTGACCAACTGTCTGAGTTTCCTTTGAAGGATTTCTGCTAGATTGTATATCGGTGTTCGAGGTAGAGTCACAATTGGACCTAAAGGAATGCCATTCTTATGTATTTTGTTGTAATGGATATCAAAATGATTATTTAAGTCAGCTTGTTTGGTTTTATGGCTGTTAATATTTTCAGAAGTTTGACCACTAAACCTACAATATGTTTGAATTTTCTTTAAAAGCTGCAACTTCATTAGATTTCTCAATGAAAAAAATGAATGTTTAATATTTCAGATGAAAAGCATATTTGTTTTGTTTTCCATTACTTTAGTCCTTCCCACATTTTTATCCAGCTTAAAATGGATAACAGATCAATGGAATCTGGTGTCACATTGGAGGAAGTTCATGCTGATGTGATAACTTTAGTGTCTTGCTTCATAAATTAGTAATTTCTTTTTCTGGGTATAGAATTTTATTCTGTCTGCATTAATTATTTGAGGTCACTTTGCAGTTTGGTAACATGCAGTTACAATTGTGTACTTT